ATTGCTTAGTTTATGTAGCTACATATTTAAGAAATTTAATTTTGTAACTCGTATTTCATATATTGGATTTATTATAAGTATTGTAAACTAACAATAATGGTTTATTATCTATGCAAAATGTAATGTATAAGAGTATTTGTCCAAGCAAAAAAAAGAAAAAGAAAAATGTGGCTTTCAAACTAAGAATTAAGAAAAGATTATTACATGTATAGTAAAATTAAAAAAGAAAATCTACTTCTTTTGTGAGTGTCTTGTATAAAACATTCTTATGCAAAGCCTCATATTTAAAATGTCATCATCATAGATGATTATTATTGAACTTTATATAGATTATTACCCTTTAATTTTATTTTGTAAAGTGTTATATTACTAACTATACTATGTGATGGGTCTACTTCTAAATCTGGAGTAAACCGGTGGATGTGAGCTCAGATCTGCTTGAACCGCCTCCGAATCGTTGCTAGACCGCGAGATACCTGCAAAAACTCAACGCCGGAGGTGTTTCCGGCGTAGAGCCTCCGACGCTCAAGTCAGTATAAGAGTGATGAAGAGATGCTGCGCAGCAGCTATGGGGGAGAGTGGGAATGAATGAGAGTTAGGGTTTTGGGATTACCTTGCCTCCTTTATATAGGAGTGAACACTTACCTGAAGTACCCAAAATGCCCAAGTCGGTGGACCTAGAAGGTCCAAAATACCCCGGTCGATTCGTCTCCCCTTCCTGCTGAGTCATCTCAAGATTCCTTCTTATTCTTTGGAGTATATAGAGCTCTAAGTATGTTGCAAGTGTGATGAGTCGTTATCACATCTTCGGTCCTCGAGGTATGCAGAGTCGACTTCGAGAGCTAGGAGGTCGACTTGTGAACATGAGGATTTCGGAGGCTACGCTTGGTTAATTCTCTTGAAGGGAAGTCGTCTTCAGAGAATCATCTTAGTGAAGTCGACTACTGGGAGTCGACTTAGAGTATCTGGATGCTCAAAAGCTATGCTCTTGTTGTTCTTCTTATATAGATGTCGACTAATGGAGGTCGACAGGCTGAGGTCGACAGGATAGATTTCTTTCCTTTCTTGGTCGCTCTTTGTAGAGTCGACTTTATGGGAGCCGATTGGAGCATGTCGACGGAGTCATATCGACATGCGGGTGGTTCGAGCAGTTCACCGGTCGAGTAAGGAGCCTCTAGACCGGGTTATCCTTATGTGACTATATCACTATGAAAATTAAATTATTAAATCTCATTATTTATTCCAAAAAATTGTAAAGTATTTTTTAGAATTATTTTATTTTCAAACTTAGTTAATACTTTGTTATTTATATTATAATTAGTTGTGAAACATTATAATCTTTCTATCCATGAAGCGAGTTGGGTAAAAACAAATTTTAAGAGTTTGGTTTACTTGTTTACCCAACGGGAACCTGATTACCTGTCGGGGTAAAACCCAACCCAAACCCGAAGACCAATCTACGGGTAATGTGTTGGGTTCGGCTAGGACAAAATGTACGAGGGTTGAGTTCGGATTTATCAAAGCATGGCTGACCCGCCCCGTTTACATCACTATGTCCGACCTAGTACAACCCCCAAGTACTACATGGGTCCTTGAAATATANNAGATTTATTTTATTTTAAATTTAAAAATAAATATGCAATAAATAATATAGAGAAATTATGTATTTACAAAAATGTTTGAATTATAAATATAAAGTGAAAAAATAAAATAAAAAATTAAATACAAAGGTTTGTATTCTAATTTATACTAGATTTTATAAATTATATTATTAGGCTTATTGAAAATTAACAGATTATGTACAACATATTCAACTTAATGGAATCTTTTATATTTAAATTAACAACTTTGTATTTAGTTTAGTACTTTTACAATGTTTGTAGTATTTTCATTATTGGCCCAAGTATATAAGGGTCTCACTTGTACAAGAAACACACTTTTTGTTCATTTTGTAACAATGCACAAACCCTAATTTTCTGTTCATCTCTATCGTTTTCTCTCTTTCTCTCTACCCGATTTCTCTGTACATTGACATAGTCGATACGATTTCCGATTTGCGATATCTGCTGCATGCTTTGTTCTCTACTCCATCTCTAAGGTGATAGTTTTATCTCAAATCGAAAATCATATCGACTATGTCAATGTACAGAGAAATCGGCTAGAGGGAAAGAGAGAAAAAAGGAAAATACGAGGATCACACCTAAGACTTCATGGTCCAGATCAAGAAATTAACATAGCCAAGTCATCCATATGGAAGCCCGTAAAAGTTTTCAAGTAAGTATCCCGCCTAAAAACGTCTGAAGTAAAACAGAGTAAGTAATACGAAAAAGAGAAGAAGGGAAAGGAATATTCCATTGGAAATATAAAATCATTACAAGGACCCACATTGGGGCAATTTAGTTATATGTGGAAAGAAAAATATAAACGAAGAATATTGAGTAGAAAAAGTCCCCTCCGAAGACGAGCTCGTAGCCAGCCCAAGTGTCGTTCGACCGCTATGGCGGGCTCCCACTAGGCATGTTCGCGAGGTTCGTCTGGATTACCGTCTCAGCCGCAAGGGTTGGGGAAGCCTTTCCACATTCGGTCATCATCAAATTCACTAGTATAACCCCCAAAGATAGCCAGACCAGTAGCACGCTTGATCCCGACCTCTAGGTAAACACCAGCCAGTGCAATAATTTCTTCTAATTTTCTAAGCAGGCCAGCAACTCCTGTAATAACTCTCTAAGAAACTCTTCCCCATGTTTGGGTCGAGGAAAGAAGTCAGGCCGTCCTCACGTGCCTTAGCCTCGCGCTCAACCATTAACGCGGCTAACTAGCTCATTTGTGCCCGCAACAGAGATGCACTTTCTACCTCGGCCTGAAACTTGGTGATCTTGGTCTGAAGACCAGTCAGCTCAGTTTGAAGGGTATTGTCTTCCTTTCGCACCTTGGAGACGGTGGCCTTTAGCTTGGTCATTTCTTTGTCAAAAGTCTGCTCTCGAGCAGTGAGCTCAGCCTTCAGTCGTTTGTTCTCGGCAGCAAGACCCTCACCCGACAACTCTTCGTCCAAAAGAGGACCTTGCCTAGACAAGGCCTAAAAAATAGAAAACGCAAGAACAAAACAAAGAGTTAAGAAAAACATCAACAAAGGTAAATCATCATGAAAAGGATAAGTTCGTACCTGGAGAATATGCAATAGTAAGTGAGAACCAAGAAAAGGCCGGTCTCGGTACCACCGATTTGTTTCTCCCTCAGGGAAGATGAAGAGGAGGTAGATAGATTGGCTACCAACGTCGTTGGATATCATTGGCCTAAGAGGCATATGCAGAACGATAGCTGCAGAAGGATCAGCCACATTTGGCTTCAGAAGTACCTCAGCCACGTTTGGTCCTGAGAAGATATCAGTCGCCCCTATCTTCAGAGACACTTCCATGATTTTTCGCTTTTTTTAGCGAGGTATCTTTGTCGGTGTGGTGCCCTATGTGGCAACACCAAAGTTCGGCATCGAGAGAGTCACTATAGCAGAGTCTGGCTAGAAAGTGAGAAGGTCGGCAAGAAATGTGGGCTGCTGAGAAGACTGTAGTACCGCAGAAGTGCCCCCAACATTGACTGTGAGGGGTTGTGGAGGCTTGCCTCAAGGAAAAGAGCTCAGTCGGGCCTTCTTCAGTATAGAGTTTGCGAGAAAAAGACAAACATAGTGCATCAGTAACATTAAGAACAAAAAGACGAAGATATGAGAAAAGAAAGAACTTAGGCAATTAAAAAGAATACCTAGGTCAAAGCGAAGAGAGCGAGGCAAAGAAGACAGACCATTGAGCGACCTCAAGTCAAGGTCATCAGTGAGAAGGGTGCGATCGTAGGGAGTCTCATTCAACTTCTTGATCAGGTCTCTGTAAGCCTGGTTGGGCTTTGGGCGCCGACATTGGTCAGGTTTTTCATGGATGCATTTAGAAGAAACGAGAAGGTTTTAAGAGGAAGTCTAATAAAGAAGTACTTAACTTGCCATTTTAGGTTACTTAAAGGCAAGTTGTTGAGGAAGTTTGCATTATTGCGAGGAGACAAGTAGAATAAGCCCTTTTGGGAATTCATCCAGTAACAGTAAAAAAATTATGTTCGGATCAAACAACTTGAGTATGCAGCGACTAATGATGGAAAAGCCTACCATGAAGCGAATGGCATTGGGAGCGAAATGATTCAGAGAGCCTCTGTAGACCCGAGATGGCTCTAAAAGATCGAATTTTAAGGGAAAAGATAGATCGGCATACACCTGACCTATGAAGAACATGTAAAAGCCCTCGGGGGGCTTGGTCAAGGAGTCCCCAACCTTTGGGAAGCCGAAGTTCCCAGGATTGAGGAAGCTCACATGAATGTTTAAAGTACATCATGTCAATGTCAGACCAGGTACGCAAAGGGATAGGTCGTGCGACCTGGACCAAGTAAGATGAGAGGATGGCCTGGGCACCTTCGACGATAGTCATCTCAGCGGGCCGATGCAAAGATAATGGAACAACGGATATTGGGGTGGCTAAATGAATTGAAAAGTTATCAATCACCGAATTCAAGAAATTTTTGAGAGAGAATGTGGAAGAGCTCAAAGACATTGTAAAGAAAATAATCCAACCTTAACTGTCTCTGATGAAAAGCAAACAAGAGATGTAGATCGAGGTCTAAAAAGAGAGAGATAAAAAATCAAAGAGAGAAGAAGTCTAGAACATATTCACTAATCTTCTAGAGTGCGAGGTAAGTAAAATCTAGGGTTTGCGAGTTGCGGTAGGAATTTTGAGTAGAAAGGTAATTTTATAGCAAAGTGAATGAAAAATAGTGATAAAGAGTGAAAGAGGTGGCAGTTGAAGGCAAGTTTTTATAAGACATACCAAGAAGGATAAATCCGACCGTTAGAAGATGCACAAATCGAGGTCTCAGAATCTAGTCTAGTATTTGGTAAGGTGTGCCCACGTGGACACTATACATAGAGAGGGATCCGAGCATGTAAAAAGTTCTTCTTGCCACCTCACGCTCTCTCGAAATTATTCGATACATTCAACGAAGGAGAAGGTGAAGTACAATGTTCAAACATAAAGATCCATCTCAGCACAAGTCTAGTTAGCTTGTCCTGAAATGGAGGGGGGGTAGGGCTAAATGATATAGCATTCAAAAGTAGCTCGGCTATCCAGTCTGAGCAAGTGGCTCGGCTAAGTTCGGGCTGAAAGAGCTCCCGTGGGTACAGAGGCGAGATGTTCGGTCAAGTAGCTCGGACATGGGCTTAAGTTACCGAGCTATTAGAATAACATGGCCTGGAGATATAGACCTCTAGGAGCCCGACAAAGTAACAAACCTCAAGATATCTAGGTCGGGTGGCCTAAGGACAAGATGGACCTAAATACGAGTTCGGTCTTGACCTCAGGACAAGGTCAGGTACGTCCACGGGAAGACCATAGCAGACAGCTTAGGAGGTCAGATTCATGACTTAAGGACGACTTAAGGATCCATGGGCTAAAATAGTAAAAAGGGGAAGAATCCAAATGAGAAAGAAAGAAATCGCTCGGTCAAGGACTCTTACAAAGATAGAGACGTAGAAAGTTAGGAAAGTAGAATTTGGAGTGATTTCTTCCCTAAAAAGAATTCTCTTCGGCCCTAAGGTATTAAGTCTTATATAAGGACGACAAGTTTTCTTTAATCACGAACACACATTCTACACCTTCATTCATATATTCTTAAATATACAGTTTGAGCGAGTTGTGACTTGAGGGTTGGAGAGTTCTCCACTGGGACCCCCTCCTGCCGTATTGCAGGTTATCCAAGCTCAAGGAAGAGGACCGTTCGAGGCGTGAGGTGTTCAATTCGTTCGTGACCAAAGGTGACGTAACAACATGCTCGGGCTGGGTCTTTTGGGAATCAAAACAACTGACATAGCTGTCAAGGCATCCAACATTCGGTGACCCGAGAAGAAATCAAACACCGCTTCCTCAACGTCAGACAAGACAATCCCCCAATAGACTTGAAAG